AAAAGGATGCTACTATTGCAAATTTTGCATTGTATAATGTCGAGTGTGACCCCTCAAGCTATGAGAGCGCGTTATCTCATTTGGATTTCCGCCTTGGCGAGGAAGCTCACATGGAGGCCTGATGAATTCTCAAAATCAAGTCGCTGCAGCCAATGTTTAAAATATCAAAATACTTTCTGATGGCAAAATGTTTTCGTAGGGTTGCATACTTTAATCAAGAGATCCGTCTTTGCAGTAGCATAGTTTAATCAAGTGAATACGGATGTGACAACTTTTTTGGACCGGAGTAGTATTGGAAACGGACCGTTTGATGCTGTCGCAAACAGTGAAAATGTATACGATGGCCAGCTCTTTTTGCATGATACACTGCATACTTAACTGTACATACGTATCTCGAACAGCATACAATGTTTTTGAATTCTGAATGCATCAAGAGGTTGGTTACCTCAATTGCTGCCGTGTGGTGGATGCTTCACTCTTGCCAGTCGCTGCTTCATTGAAACTTTATGTCGGGAATAGAAGTGTACCTATCTTCACTGTCCAGCTCTGCACCACGGGATGGAACCCTCAACGATGGCGTTGTCGCACTATTTACAGTAAGCTCGGTGGTCTGCGTCTATTTAGTGTGCCCCTTAAAATAGAGTGAGCACTAAGATAGAACGTGAAGAGTCGCATTGACGAAAATCGACCCGTCGGCGATGCCGCCGCCAGAACAACAGCTGCCGCGCGTGTGCTTTGACGATGAGTACCGCGTCCGCGTGCTCGAGCTGGACAAGTTTGTGCACACACAGGAACTCGAAGGCGAAAGTAACCAGTTCGTCACAAGTATGTGTCTCCGACGACAGGTTGGTCGAGCGCAGTCTCATGCGATGTCGTTAGAAATGGAAGATTTCCACACGACGGTGAAAGGAGTGCTCGAGGTCATGGAGGCACAGGCAAAGCGTATCGAGATCGAGAAACTCAAGGTACCCCCACGCGGCGATTGTGAGATCACTCTTAGGTGTTGGAATAGGCCATTGGACAGCGCAACCGTGTGGACAATGAAGTCGAGAATCGCAACCGACAAAAGATCATGCTGGAAGTCTTGATCAAGGAGAAACAGACAGAACTCGAGAGGTACGTCCTGACTACGGCCATCGACGGCGCCACGTGAAGAAATGATGGCCAGGTACTGCCAGCAATACGCGTCGCTCACCAAGGTTGAGGACGAGCAACAGCAGCTCATGGACAAGCTCAGCAACAACGAAGCATGATGTCCATGTCGCTTTGTCTGTCGGGGAAAGACCAAACACTGGCTTTTATACCCAATACATATCGATCCCTTCGTGTTCATCTGCACGGCCTTGACCTGCGAACTATCTCGACGTTTGGAAATCGACCAGGTCGTTGTCTGGTCTGGAGTTCGTAGCCAACGTCGTTTCACCCGGCAAATTGTTTGAAGCACCTCCCGATGGCCACAATCGACAATGTCTAGCCGAGCTAAGGAGGTATGGAAGTGCTCGTTTGCTCGCACAGGTGGGGGTCAAGGCACCTACAGCCCCAAGTGGGTGTCGCCACTACGAGTCTATCGTGGTGGTTTTCTTTTCAAGTATATTCGAGGCGAGTCGGATGTCACTGGCGATCTCGGTGACGCGGCGATTTCGAGCGATCTCGATTTCTCGAGTGCTCTGGACGAGCATGTCGCTACCCGTCGCTGACGAATGGAACGAACGGTGGTGTAGACGACGTTTTTGGTTGTTGGTTTCTATGGTGGGAGGACGATGTGGAGCTCGAAGCCACATCGATCTGTTTCTATGGTGCAAAATCCAAAATGTCGTCAAAGCGCGTCGCTGCGAGCGTGCGGATGCTCTCGTGCCAGTGGGTCTTGGACGTTTTGTAGAACGCGCCCGATAGCATCGTGTACACGTCGTGCGAATCCTGGACAAAGTGGACGAGGATGAATTGGCATCCGGCAAATGCGAGGGCTTCCTTGGCGACCGCGATGTGGGGGGCGGCCATGCACTGTGCCAGTCGCTGAAACACAAGTGGCAGCGTCGTGTCGCGCGCGTGACTCGGTTGGCGCGGGGCGGCCATCATCAAGCGCGCCAGACTGCGAATGGCAAACACTTGCTGAGATGGCATACGAAGGGGCCATCCGTGGAGGAGCAGCCGTCGGATCAAGTCCCACGCCATGTGTGGAACGTACGCAACAAACTGGCCGGCAACGCCGACGAGGTCGTCGGTATCGGTGCCAGTCGAATCCAAGTGATGGCACTTGCACAGATAAATCCACGACCGCGCGTAGTTGGTCAGGACCGTCGGGTCTTCGCCCGCCATTGCCATGTGCTCGATGGCATATCGGAGAAACTCGGTCCACGTGTGGCCATGATCAAATTGGGACGTGCCCCCGGCTTGGAGCTCCTTGCCCGTCTCATACGCTTCGGCATGCACAGCTTGAACGTACTGCAGCCGCATCGACGTCGCGTCCACGAGGGCTTGCGCAATGTGCATCCGTCGCATGGGCAAGTGTTTGTGGATCGCGCGGAGGATGTGCAGCCTCGCGCTGGACGTTCGAAAGTCCTCAAAGCGGAGTTCCGTGATCAGCTGCACAACATCGCGAGTGAGTCGACCACGACAAGCGACCATGGAGACAGTACCGAATGGATCAGCGTTGGAGTGATGTACTGGTCTAGCGACTGCTTCGTGTCCAAGTTGAGCCGGACATCGTCCTTGAACAGCGTCGCCGCCAGCCCCCGCTTGACAAATGTTTCGTTGGGGCCAGTGTCGGACTCGCTCCCTGTGTTGTCATCGTTCACACGAACATGAGGTTTTCCGTGCGGAGTGGCAAACAGCGCTTTGAAGACGGTGTCTACTACAGCTTCACGCGTGACCCTAACGTTTCGATAGCCACGTGAGCGTCATTCTGGTCGGCGCAAGGCAGAGCGCGGCGGCGACAAGTTGCGCTCGACATGGCGATGGCATGCCAACGAGGTCGCCACCATGGCCAGAGCCGTTCGCACAATGTGGAGATTGGACAAAATACACAAGAGCATTCCAGCTGAGCAAGACGTCTCTTCCCGAGCGCGGGTGGACGCCCCAGCAACATATCCACGAATCGCAACTTTGCATGCACCACCACCCCATGCATCCACCACAAAAACGACCCCATCCGAGTCGGAGCAACGACAAACGGGGCGGATTTGAACGCAAAGGCAGAAATGGAGACTTACCGCTTTGGAATGCGCTTCTGCGGCACGGCGAGCGCCAGGCGATCTGTAAAAGCGCTTTGTTTGACTAGGGTGGCGGGTTCTGGGTACGCCTCGTCCTTGTCGTTGTCGGACTCGGACCCGGAGCCACTCCCGCCATTGCTGTTGCTTCGTGGACGCCTAGCGATGTGAAGCTTGCGGCGCGGAGGCTTTTTCGACGGCTTTGGGGGTGTTGGCAGATTCGTTGTCGTGGGCAGGAGACTCGTGGATGCTCCAGGCGTCGTCAACGACAACTGCGATCGCTTCCGATGGCCAATTACTGTGCGGGAACCGTCCTTGAGGACATTTGCTCGTCGTTTCGGCTTGTCTGTCGATGATCCTTCGTCTACTTTGGATGGCTTGGTCGGTTTGGGTTGGCCTAGGCTACCTGCTGAACCCGTGGATCTGGTTTTAGTCCGGGGTGGGGCTCGAGGCTTTCGAGACATTTGTGATATGGGAGCTGGGGCTGGTGCGGACGTTGCGGTGCCGATTGGTAGCGTGAACGCTGCGGCGTTCGGGTTCAACTTGGGCTTCATGACTGGCTTGGTCACGAAAGGACTACTCGGTGGGAGGTGCATGCTGGTGAATGCATTCTGGAGAGAGTCCATGGTGGAACCTAAAGCTGCTCTAGCTCTTTGCTGGTGCGACTCCCCCGCCGTTTGATGGGATCGGCGCGAGTGCGACTTGCCCTGTGCCATCATGCCATGCATTTGTTTGGGAATGCTAGTAAAGGTGTTGATAATTGGTTAACATGGACGACCTTCATTCTCAATAACTGGAGATTGATATAGCGTGTTCGGAACGCCAGTTATCCCAGGTGCACATTAAATTAGGATATTTCCTGGGATAGGAACTCCGATTTCTGTTGCATTTGCAAGGAGAATGGCGCAGTAGCGTAGACTAAAAGGACGTAGAATTTACTCGTCACCATCAAACTCTATTGAGAACATCTTCCGTTATGATATGAGTGCATCGACGTGAAAGCATCCCAACAACCACGGTTCCCTGCCTGTCTCCATTCGATTCGTCAATTTTGTGCTACATTCTGATGCACCCATTTTGATTGGTCAATCCTTCAATGAAGTGATGCCAGATGAATCACCAGATGTGACGAGGTGAGCCTGCCGAGTGGATCGCGACTCGAATGAAAGCGCAGCGCCAAGACAGCTCAAGGAGGCAGCGTCTCAACAAGCTGTTAGACAGAATTGCACATAGTTTCAGCGCTGCAATGCTGTATTGTGCTGGAATGTTTTGCAGTTGACCGGGTGCGGAGTCTATAATGGACGTCTGATAAAGGCTTCGTTTCCAAACATCCTAGTTCAAATTTCCACCTTTGGGATTTTAAGCTCTATGCATAACTATACTATAAAAAATATATTGAACAAATATGTGATTGCAATTTAATGAACAAATATTAATACTCCGGAGTATGTGCTTGCAATTTATTGAACAATTATTTGCTTGCATCGAATCGAGCACAATAGATATATTCATTGTAAGTTGAATACTGTAGCGCAATGTAAACTTCGAGTGTTGCAATTCCAATACTAGTATTATTTTTGCAAGGGCCTGATTCTAAGCACGTTAGGAATTCCCGCAGAAACCATCATGAACACGAACGTGAAGCGGCTGCGGAAGGAGCTGGTCGAGCTGCGCAAGAGCCCGGAAGCGGACATGGTGCTCTTCCCTCTTGAAGACACTGTGACTGAATGGAAGGCGTTCATCACAGGGCCTGTGGACACCCCGTTCCAGCACCGTGTGTTTGAGCTTCGCATTGTCACGACGCCGTTGTACCCGATGGAGCCGCCCAAGATGCGCTTCGTCACCAAGATCTTCCATCCAAACGTGCACTTCGTCGATGGCAGCATCTGCCTGGACATTCTTAAGCGCGAATGGTCTCCAGCATGGACTTTGCGGGCGGCGTGCCTCGCAGTGTCGTCTCTCTTGTCGGACCCTGCCGCCGACTCCCCATTGAATTGCGATGCCGGCAACATGATTCGAGCAGGGGACATGCTTGCGTACAACTCAATGGCTGCCATGTACACGGAAGAATTTGGATTGCCTTCGTTGCCCCCATCTCCGTTGTAAGTCTCCCAATCTACTGTTCCTCGACCGTGCACAGTATGTCCTCGTCGCCATCTTGTTCGCCGTCGACAACGTCACTCCCCTCGACGTCTGCATCGTACGTTCGGCATGCGAGGCTGCCAAAGTACATGGTGACCGTCTTGAGCTTGTGGTTCAGGTAGTTGTATTCGACTTCCACGACTTCATCTCGCTCTGGATCCTGCAAGAGCTTCACCTGCTTCGTGTCCACATTCCTCGGGACGAAGTACACGATATCCTTGGTCAGCGCCGTCGCGATCTTGAACAGATCGATGCCGTCGTGACGCCCCATGCGCATGTCTTGGAGGGAGAACTTCTGTTGGGACAAATACGCCGGACCTACTCCATTTTGTCGGAAACACGATGGGAACTACCATCATTTGGTCCAACGTACCTCCCCAAGGCGGGGACAAAAACACCACATCCACGTGGTGCAACCGTGGTAAAATGGCAAAGCTGTCACCGACAATCCACTCGATGCGGTCCGCGACACCGTAGATTCCAGCGTTGTGCTTCGCAATAGCTATCTTTGTTGGGTCGAGATCAATCGCGATGACGTGGCGGCATGTGCGTGCAAGTTGGATCGCGTTGCCCCCGCATCCAGTGAACGCATCCACCACCACGTCGCATGCAATGCGCGTCGCGTGGTGCGCGGCAATCACTTCGGGGGTGACCTAAAACGGGTACTCTGCATGAAGTTTTTGAGAAAGAGGGTGGACATGCACATGGTAGTGACGGAAGATGGTGGACAAGAACCCTTTGTGACACAAACAGACATATGGCATACGTACTGAGAACCACCCTTCATGATCCATCTCGATGCCGTCGTCAAACTTGGAGAAGAGCGCGTACCGCTGCGCCCAATACTTCTGCAGCGACGGGTGGATACGAGCTACGAAGCGACGGGTTCAATACCCTAAATGATGGAAGGAACGATGGACGTACTTGGTTTCTTGTGAGGAGGTAGGACCGCGGCGTTTGTTCCTTGGGCATCGTCCTCCTCAACGGGAGTTTCCTCGTCCAACGGCCGTTTGCGCAATATCGGGACAACGGGAGGGTCTACTTCGACGCCTTCTCCATCGTCATCGAACGTAATGTACTGTGGAGTCTGCCGACGGGATAGGGGCTTGGTCTCTACTGTGAGGTCGCCAACGGTGTGGAGCCGTGTGCACTGACGTTGTTTGGTCGATCCAAACGACAACGGAAGCATGCCAGCCATGCCGACTGCATCCATTTCGTCTTGAAGAAGTTTCTGTTGTGCTGCTTCTTCAGCTTCCCTTGCAAGTTCAAAGGGATCAGGGACGACTGCTTCGTTCCGCTTTCTGTGCTTCTGTTTCCTCTTCTTCCCCGGTTTGACCTTGGAATTCTAGAGAAAGCCATGATCACATGCATGTGAACCATTCAGTTATCTCGTCATGCGCTAACCTTTGCCGCATGAGACTGACGTGCGGACGCCTCCAAGTCAAACAGATACACATTGCGGAACGTAATCGCCATGAAGATGCAATGCGATCGGCCTCGATGCAATTTTGTTTCAGCCAATCGGAAGAAATAAAACATGTAACCAATCAGATTTAACGAATTCCTCTATTGACCAATCCAATCTCGTAAAATTACCCAATCGCAAGCCAGATTTCGAAACGACACCAGCTTTCAACAACGCGATGGACCCGGCAAGTATGTCGATGTGCGACGTTCGGGTGGCTAAAGGGCGCTCTAGTGCTTGCAAAGCGGCCGAAAGTCCGAACGTGTTATGTGTGCGGCAGGTTCGTCGCGTTGCAGAGTCATCCGCATTCTCACGCGTGCGCAGGGACTATGGCCTGTCGTCGTACGAGATCCACTTGAAGCAGTGCAAACAACTCTGGATCGCGCAGGTGGAAGCGACGTATCGTATGGTGCATTGAAAAACGACTATCGTAGGAGGAATTGAAACCATTGAAAGAACGCAGACCAGTTCCAGAGCCCCCGCACGCGCTTGTGTCGTCAGAGTGTGGTGACGTCCCAAGCGCATACGACTTGACGCCCGAGCAGCTCGAGGCGCAGAACCGAGCGGCCCAGCAAGCTTTCGAAAACAAAGTCGGACGGCATCGCTGCCCTTCAGGCAACGATGTTCACTCGGTTGTTCACGGCAGGTCATGGAGAAATGCGCCTTCTGTGGTCGAACTTTCAATCCAGAACGGTGTGTGAAAATTGCCCAAACGAGGTCAACGTCTCATCGCTGACGGTGCCCTGTGTCGCTTCAGACTAGCGATTCACAATCGAAGCTGCACAGCCGAGCATCCTGCGAAAGCGATCGGCCAAGCGAGGCTCAGTATGGCACCCTGAGGTCAGGATCAGTGGTAACCTAGTACTTGTAGATGACGCGAGCGGCAGTGGAAACGCCTCGAGCACGCCACCAACCAAGCCAAAGGTTCGCTCTCTACGATTCCGTGGCTATGAATAAATGCTTTATCGTAACATGGTAGGAACCACCAAAAACTAGGACTCCGCCAGAAAACAAATCTCAGTCGGGGACATTGGGAGAAAAACAAACATCCCTGGCTGGCTCGTTGGGTGCTAACCGAAAGCAGCGCGCTGGTCTATCTTCTCCCTTGACTAGCGCGTGCCCAGATGAAGAAGACGACTTGTCTCCGTCCCCTCCATCCAATCGCACAATTCAAGATATCAAGGCCAAGCTCGACCACTGGGAAAAGATCGCGCTGGCAATGGTCCAGGACATTCGAGACTTGAAGGTCTCAATCAATCAGATGTAGTCGCCGACCGTCTCAGAAGTATTCCCAGAAGGACTGTGCCTCTTCTTTCGTCCTCTGCATGTCCCTTCCATCCACGGGTTGGCCATCTTGCATGCCAATGTGAATGCCGAATGCAAACAAACATTTTCACACTAAATAGAGTCGCTGGCAAGCATGTACACTATTTAAATCCTCCAGTTAGAAAATGCAACTCTAATTAGTGTAGCATTCATTAATTATGACGTAGTCGTTTGAAATACTTCAAAGTACTTACACGAAACGAGCAACAACATTTAATGTGACTCACACTAAATATGTAACAGTTTCGAACAACATCGTTCGGGTTCAACGGCCTCGCACAAATCAAGGCAACGGGACGACGATCGAATGGAGGACGAATATGTGTGGGTGCAGCCGCTGCGTGAGTGGGACGTGGACGAGGATGTCGAAGGGCGGTGTCTTGATCTGCAGTGCCAGGTGAGGGAGCTTCAGGCCGCCCAAATGCGGTGGGAAATCCACCGCATGGACTTGGAAATGCAGCTCATGACGGAGCGAAGCGCGCGCCACCACGAATTGCAACTTGTCGAGGACCAACTCCACCACGAGAGACAAGTCGTGATGTTGCTTGCCCACGAGCGGGCCATGCAAACGGCGTTGATCACAGACCTCCGCGCGCAACTCCACCGCACGCGACACAAGCGCAAGATGACGTGTCTGAAAAAGGAGCTGCGGGAAAAGTACCTGGCCATTCGAATGCAACGAAGTGTTGCCATGGCGACACGGTGCGGCGGCAACGCGTCCCTTTTAGACCTCCTCAAGCGCGAAGTGCCCAAGATGCAGAAAGAGGACTCAGCCGATCCGTTCATATGACTCGACGTATCGTCCACTCGTATACAGACAGATCTTTAACAATGATGAAGTCAAGCACTTGCGCGTGCCACCTAGTCGTGTCCTTTGACCCGCTGGCAGACGTTGTATGCTACGACTGCTCCTCGCAGCCCATCTTCAATCCAACTTAATCATGGCCAGACACATTGGAATGATTCCCATCCCATTCTACTCACTGCATAGATGGCAGTTCGCTCATGTTGTACCTCAGCATTGATCGACACCAATGTCGTCGTTGACAGTACTGTCACGGAAGCCTGCTGCCACTGTCCATCCCTGCGCTTACGGTCTACCAAGCATTTCCATCATCGTATAGCTCGGCGAATACGTCGCAACGATGGCTTGTCACCCGATTACGCTTGCTTCTAGCAATCGAAAACCTCGAGCGTGATGCCTTCAGCGTCTGGAGCGGCGGTGCCACCAAGTCCGACGCGTGACACGTCACGCAACGGACCTCCGTTTGATGCCGCCGTCTAGCTGCTGCGACAGGGCCAAGCAAACCAACGGCATTGCAGCAAAATCGTTTGAGTTGAGAGCTTAAATATCGCGCAACGAGTTGGTCAGTTTGTGTCCGCTCTTGCACGCGTTAAGGTCGAACCCACACGCCATCGCAATAACAAAGTACAAAATGCCCTACGCCAGTCGTGCCAGGTCGGGACATGTCGACGGCGGTAAGGACAGACGTACCAGGCCCACCACCCCAAGGCACGCCCACATTTTGACGCTGCGCCACCACAGCGTCTTGCGCAGCTTCTTCGCCTTTCGGTTGAACACAAACGACTGCTGGCTCAACTTGTCGGTGCGGTCAACAAGGAGTTCGAACTTTTCACCACGATCCAGCACCTTTTCTACTCGTCCAAACGATAAGCCACCATCGCATGCGCAGTCGGCACCGACCGATGTTCTCGACCATGGCGTCCTTGACGTCATCGAGCGACTGCTGCACCCGTGCTACCGTGTCGACGTCGGGGCTCGCATTGTAATACTCCTACTTGACCCTGGTAAGCACTTGGATGAGACAGATCGCGTCCCCACCATTTGCCGTTGAATGACATGTTGGAACTCAGCGTTCATGGCGAACGCGATGGCCGTTTGACCGCGTTCGCCGTACGTCGCTAGGAAACGGTTCTACGAGCAAACAACGTCATGAACGACGGAGGTCCGATGATTCATTGATTTTGCCTTGAGGTCTTCGAGAAACTGGAACGGCACCCGGCGCTTGAAGTCGTTGTCGGCCATGCACAGGTACGTGATTCCGTTGTCCACGACGTAGTGAAAGATGTGCCTAGTTCGCCGCACGATTAGTGAAAGTTCGTTCACGGACGCAGTGTGTACTGGTCGTAGACGTAGGACATTTTGCTGTCTTCGGTCGGGATCTTGGCGAGGAGGACCCGGGTCACAGTCGGAAAGTTGCCCGACGACGCCGTGTACTCTGCCAACACGGTCTTCCCGCGGGATACAAGGGCATAGACCTACGTGCATGCAACAGTCACGTAGTCTGTCGCGTCCACAGCGCCTCCTGCGGTCGGTCGGACGTACGATGGGCATTCTTGTGCCAGGAAAGATTGATTAACTGTAAATGCAGTTTGGAACGGCTTCGCTTCTCACCCATTTTTATTGGTCAAATATTAATCTTTTTATCCAATCCAGCTCATCTGGAGGAGAGTGTTGGTCACCCGTTGAAAGATCGCCGTCGTGACGTTTGGTCATGTGGGTGGACGCAGTACATGCGTGGGAGCGCGAGTTCCGCGAGACTGTGGCGGAGGTCATTGCGGACGGAGGTCTCACCGAGGACTTGTCAGTTAAAGCTCCTCTCTTGGAAAAGCTTTCCGACATCCTCGAGCACGACGAGGTCACCAAGGATGACGCCATCATCGGCAGCATGCTGGCGCTGTGGATCGTGGTCGTGGGCAACGTCGGCCAGGTGTCTGTCATGTCGTACAAGTACACGTGCTTTCGGCTCATGACAGCGTTGCTCCGCCGCCCCGAGTTTAAGCTCCAAGGACTTGCCTTTGACTTCAACACACAGGTAGGTGGGGAGTGTGCGACGATACCATCACAAACGAAACAGGACGTACGCAAAGAAGGCGACCCGGAAGCTTGGCGCCGCATTCACCTCGTTCGCAAGCTCGTCTGCGACACGTTCGTGTACTCGTCTGCGCTGCTCCTCCACGACAATCAGAGCGACGAAACCCACCGTTTCTGTGCGCTCGTGGCCGCGCATGCGTACTTTGTGTTTCCAATGCTTCAGCCACAATTCGTTGATGTATGCGCGTGGCGGTACTGCCACCACCAGGCCATCTCGGTATCATCGGTTCACATGCACCTGACCGACGCGGTCCGCGCTCTGTCGTTGCAACCCACCCACACGGAGTTTATGGACAACACGCCGGACTTGTTTCACTGGGGCTGGCTCGCCAAGCCGACCGACATGGCCATCCTACCCGACGAGTCGACGTGGCGACTCCTCCTAGATGCGAATGACGGCCACCTCTTCTGCGCATTTGTCCAAGCATTCCACGACCTCATCGACCAAACCATCCGCGCGAGTGCGTCACACGTGTCCGTTGTGCAGTGGGGAATGGTCCCAGGCTACATGCAGCTCGCGCACGTGTTTGGTGTTGTGCTGTACGATGCGCTAACGACCATGACAGCTATGCGCCAACCTGACGAGCTCCATTATTCGAAGAGACTACATGCCATCGAGAAAGTTCTGCCGTCGACGACACTGTTCGTCATGTCACCAGGCCTTTGTGCCAAAGTTCTCACGACAGCCACAACGCTCGCAAAGTGTGGCCACGTCGTGCAGCTGTGGCTGGCTGCGGCCATCGCGGCAGCCAAAGATGCGGGTGCCAACAAGGCGAACGGGGTCACGATGTCGCCGCTTCTGCTGGAAGCGACGACAGCTTGGATCGAGGTTGCGGCCAACAGCCACGACCGAGTCACGTCGTTCGATGCCACGACGGAAAGGTTTCAAAACCTGCTCTTGTATCCGTCTTGCATCACCCTTCAAGCGATGGTCGCGCACGTTGCGTCGTTCGTTTCAGCGATACCTGATGCCGACGAAAATGGAGTGGTCGCCGTGTTGGTGTGGATGTGCACCCACATACAGCGCTTGCGTGTTGAAGACAGAGCTGTCCTCGTGGCCGCTGTGATGGACCGGGCGCCGTTCTACGCACTCTTTTTGCACTGGTCGCCCGCCGTTCGTATTTGCTTTGGTCACTTCTTGGTGTATCGAGTATTTCGGCACGATCGGCGAGCGCTGCGCTTGGCTAGCGACACGTGCGTATCGACTTTCATGGACGGTTCTCCTGACGTACTGTCGCAGGGACGTCCTTGGTCTGTGCCACGACGGGCTGCGGCCATTTCTGGCCGGCGCGCCCCCGTCAACGCCCGTTTCCGTCGCGGACAAACCGGCCCAGCTCGTCATGTCGGACAGTCCGAGTCTGCTTTTGGACCTTTCCGTCGCCAGCAAACTCGACACGTTCTTGTATGTTCTCCAGCATCCCCCGTCGACCACGGACGCCGCCAGTCGGATGTTCCCCGAGGCACTGGACATTTTCGTCGAAGGCGCCCTCGTCGACTACGCCGTCGCGGTGCAAGAGTACTACGACCGATGCATTGTCGTCGAAACGAGCGGCAATGACCCGATCAAGGCAACAGAAGTTATCGAAGGACCTGCGTTGGCCTCCGTGCTAGTTCAGCAGCGAAAACGACATGTCTAGCTCAAGAAAACGTTTTGACTGGCATGGGCATCTGTGCAAGGAGGACAGGGCTACCTGCTGCAGCGGAACATCGAACCGTTGGACGATGTCACCGGTCGAAGCCAAACACCGCCGATAACGTGGGCCATCGGAGACCAAGCGGTGCCGCTGAGCACATGTGAATGCATCAATATGTGGTTCAACAAAGGTTGTTGCGCCATGGGCGACCTCCATGTACAACAAAACGGGTGGCTATAAAGAGCTTTGATCCCTGTGTGCCTTTGACAGTGGTTGCGGCCGCAGAATGAACGAGGACGTGTTAAGGAGGCAAGTCACGGCAATGCGAATGCGCTGTACTCGGCGGGATTACCTCTCCAAGTTTGAAACGCAGGTAAGGCGCGAAGAGCTTTCTTGGACGCGCAGTAGTCAGTTTGCAGCGCGGTCTTGAGGTCGTCGTAGGTGCAGGGAAGTTGGGCGGTAGGTGCAGCACTGTCGTCGCCGGGCTTGGACGTTTCTTCAGCTGCGAGGTCGAAGGCGAGGCGACCGAGTCGTCGACGGCAGAGTCGGGAGCTCATTTTTTGTTTGGCAGCAAAGTCGTCGAGAGTTTTCTTGGCTCCCTAGGAATGAGTAGTCCAGCGTTCTTCCCCATCGATTTAGCCAGCACCATTTTGACGCCGCGAGCTCCAATGGTGTACTCGACGGCAGAGTCGTCCGGGCAGCCGGCCGCCCAGTTGAGCGACAACCCAGACGGGCTGGGACGAGTCGGCGACTTGGACAGGCGAAAGGGGTGGCTTGACGTGGGAAACGTGGCGCAGTTGCGTCCGCGGCTCACGCACCGACGGAGCGCATCTGCAGATCTCAGGGCACGACGTAGGATGGCCAAAACGTACCGTGAAAGCTGGCGGGGTCTGCGTCTTCGGGCTGGCTCACAACGACACCATGCAAGACAATCTATGCGATCGAACGAACGAACGAAACGTGTGAGGCGGCGAACGAAACACAAACAACGTCAACGCACTGGGTCAAACCATCGCGACAGCAATGCGCCTTGCAAGCCGCAAACCATCCACTGACACAGTTTGTCGCTACAGGACATGGACATAGTGCGATTGGCTTGCAAGATGTCGGACCGCCCCGACTTGACGCGGGCAACGCCGACGACATTGGAATGTGCCGTCGAATGCGCTTCTTTGGCCCCCGTCGTGCGGCATGGCACTGAACAGGCCAACAAAGATGGTCAAGCGCTGAGAGTTGGTGGGATGCTACCTGTTGCGACAACATCGCCACTATCGCAGCGATGGTCGACCTTTTGCTTTTTGACCTTGGCCTCGTGGATGACTTCGAGTGATGCCGCCGTGAGATCGTACAACGCCGCGTCTCCGCAAGGTGCTTCGCTGACGTACATATAGAGCTGGCACGATGGCTTCAGATGTCGGCGGCGATGCGATGGAGTCGCGTCGTCCCGTGGCGACGACGACGATGGTGGTGGCAGGTCGAAGATCGAGTCAGATGGCGCGTGCTTCAATTCGTGATACAAATACCGAAGGAACGACCGTCGGCAAATGGTTTCGGCATGGCTATCGGCCACGACAAAGCCTTCGCGGCAGAGACCGCTCACGCCGACGCATTTCGTTCCGGTGCCCGCGCTAACCACGCGGAACTGCTCAGAGCCGCCGACGGCGTCACTGTCCCAGGATTCATGCACGACTATCGCACTGAAGACAGTGTGCTCGTTCGCGGCATGCTTCTTTGCAGGAATCATCTTGTTGAACCATGCCAGCGCCGCCGCCGCAACTCTGTCCACGATGGTGGCGCACATAGTTTCAAGCTCGGTCGATTCCGGATAATAAGTCTACTACATCCGTACACAACCCGACGACGGTGGATGGTGCACAGCCACCATCGCATCGGGCGACAGCCGCAGCTGGCGCACTCGAGAGTTCGAGGCGTGATACAAAACGGCGGACCATGAACTTCCTTTGTGCTGCCTGAGATCGCAGCACAATGGGTACGTGACCATGGAACGTGGCAAGCCATGTCGCGTCGATTGTGTCATCGGGTGCTCGCCAGTTTGACAGCTCGTGGGGCCATCCAGCGACGACGTAGTAGCATGGACGAGGGTGCCGAGCTCGATGAAAGCTCACGTTGGGCAATAGTGTTGTTAACAGAGACGAAAGCGACGACACAGGTTTCAATCGTTCGAGTCGGTCGAATTCGCGTTGCAGTGTGTGGGATTCATCTTCGGTCCTCGCATAATCATGTCAACAGCATACTTGTATAGCTCGGCTTGACGAGTTGGCGACATGTCGTTGTCGCTTGCATAGTTGGCGGTTGGAACGGGGTGCGACCGTAAAGGTAATCGTAGAGATTGGAGCTGTCGACGAAGTTCTCGTGCCTGGCTTTGCACGACCTGTTCGCGAACTTTTCTTCGCATCAGTGAATCTTGGAGTCCTCGGACACGTTGGAGCAGCTTCGCTTCGGACGCCGTGGTGTTGTCAGCGGTTTTCCGTGTCGGCGAGTTGGCTGGTATGATCGCCAAGTCGGTTTGCGTGCTGTGGCAGTCTTGGTCCACCGTCGCGAGCTGACTTTGGAGGTTCGTTGTTCGCGCCGCCCCAAGAGCAGCGCCCAGCATTGCCCTCGCTTCAACAGCCATCACGTGAAGTTTTTGCTGCAACATTGCTTTTTTCTGGACCAGTTTTTGGATGTGGCGTTTTTGCTGGTGCGCCTGGGCGACCACTCGGGCGTGGCATCGCACCAACGAGTTGTGGGACGCGTAGAGTGGGTGTCGCATGTCGTGGGGCTGTTCCTTGGTAGCTCTTAAATCATCGTACACGGCTTGGAGGGAGTCCAGCGAAGACATGGTTTGCGCCAAGCGCACTTGTTGATGGGCCATCTTCTCACGCAAGTCGGTAAGAGTCCGTCGGTCGTGGTCCCACTGAACTTGCCGCTGTCGCTCTTGTGCGGAGCGGACGCAGTCGTGGATGGCATGTTTGGCAGTGATCTCCAGCATCTGGTCGGCGTTGTCTTGGCTCAACACGAGAATTTGTGCCTTGAAGTGGGCAAGGTCCCCTTCGAGCTGTGCCAACTCCGACTCAGCCATCGCCCTGTACGTCTCGAATTCAACGCGGACGTCTGACTGGGCGGCTGTGTCCATTGCATGAAGCCGGAGGAGTTCATGAAGACGGCTCACTTCTTGTTTGAGAGTGCCAACCTCTCGGGCATGTATATGCTTCAGTTCCGAGATTTCGACTGATGCTATGGATGTTGGGGCTTGGGGGGGAGGCGTGGCGGCTGGCTGGACGGCGAGAGTACCGGTGACTCCCTCTCCTGAGGGGGCTCTAGGGGTGATCGGGGCGTCGTTGGCTAGGGTTGTTTGGGGCACGTGGCGCTGCCCCTGCACGAGGAAGAGGTCCGCCTGGAGCTGGAGCACTTGTTTTGCAACCACGTCGTGCTTCTTTTTCCATTCCATGGCCTTGGCACAAAACGTGTCGGCATCTTGCTTGTACTTGGTGCACGCAACTGTAAATTCTTGGATCGTCTGGTCCTTTTGTGCCAGCAATTCCTGAAAATGCAACGTCGCCGAGCCAGCCCCGCTCCATCGATCGACCACGCTTGGTTCCCTGGGCTCTACACGGTCCTGGCTGACTGGGTGCCCTGGTTTGCCAGCCACAGTTGCTCGACGGCTTGCTGTCGCCTGCGCCACGTGCTGTCGTTACCTTGTAGGGGCGCCCCGCTACCCGGAGTGCGTACCTGAAAGGAGTTGTGTATCGATGCATATGACGGTGTCTTCGGGGCGTTCTTTCGCAAGTTGCTTCGGCGGGGGGGCTGTGGCATCGACATGCGTTGTGGCTATCACGGTGGGCGCCACGGACGTGCCTGCAGTGAAGGACACCGATGTGGACGACGCCGAGACGTTGGCGTTAAGAATAGCCCATGCCGTGGCTTGTTGAAACCGATGCCAGCGTCATGCGAGGCGCGTGTTGAAAGGAAAAGTTCCCGATGGAGGCAGGACCACGATGATGTACCATATTCTTGGTGTTAGCTTGTCTGGCTATTGCGACGTCGGTTCCGACTGGCGCGACGGGACCGCTGCGGGTGCCACACGCCCCCGCCGTCGTCCAGCTCCGGGGAGCTGCTCAGGACGTGGATGTCATCGACCGCAACGGCAGGCAGCGGTTCGTCGCGAGGGGCGGTCGAATTGGCAGCTGCAAGGGCGACGTACTTGGTCTTCCACTCGAACGCTTTGTCTGCCAGTGCTTCGCAGTCGTGTTTCAGCCGGCCACACGTGGCTGTGAATTGCTGAATCAGGACGTCCTTGCCCTCGATCGCAGCAGCTTGTTCCAAGATCACGGCGTCCTTTTCGGCCAGCTGAGCCAAGAGTTTTGCAATGACGTGGCTGTCTTCCTTCTTCGCCGCCGTGTGGATGTCGGTGAAATACATGGGTTTCTACGAAAGGCTCACATGATGAGCACGGTGTCGACGTCGGCGAGCGGCTGCTGGCCACCGCACCTCTTTCGCGGTCTCTACTTGCTTTGTGACGGATCGACACGTGGACGTGGTGGTTTCCCACATGTATCGTGGTTTGTTAACGGGTGAATCTGGCGGCGTCGTTGGCGGCGCACTTGTCGAGCCCGGCAACGATGACACAGACAACGCCCCAATGTTGATGGACCCTGTGCGCAGCAGAGCTGGTTTTGTTTTACTTGGTGATACGGACGAGCAGCGCCGCACGGACGTGCGTGCCATGGGCGTGGGGGATTCTGACGGCATGTCGTCTTAGTGCATCCCACCGCTTTCTGCCCACTGTCCACGAATAGCGCCCTGTGCCACGTACTAAAATAGACGGCGGGTGTTTCGCCCCGTTTGGTTTGAATGCGATCAATATGCATGTTCTACATGCGACCGCCTTCTCTCGAATCGAGGAATGCCGCCAGGAACAGAGTTCGCTGGAGGGCTATCGGGCACATCCACCACCTCGTGAGTGCTAGCAGTGAAGTGCTATCGACTTGCGTTGCGGCATACTCTCGGATACATCGCGCCGACGGCCACGTGGGTCGTGGTGACGTGACCCGCCATGGTATATCAAACAGAAACCCATCGTGAGTTCAAGTCGACTGCTGGGAAGGCACCCCACCCACTGCGTACTCCACAGTTCATTCATCGGCATGCAACAATGGGGGAATCCAAAGTACGGCTGCCAAGGGACCCCAACAATGCAGGCACTGCAGAGACTTGGACAAAGTGCGCGTGGGGCTTCCATCGCCCCGCGCTGACGTGTCATTTTTGTCGGTGGAGCCGTGGGAGCACGGGCCATTCAACTCTTCGATGTCGACGTCACTCAGCGCAGACGAAAGGTTGGGGGCGTGAAGGGCCATCTCCATAATCCCCCGGACAGTTGGGTCAAGCAGCAATAGCATGCCGATGGTCCTGACGGGACGTTTTCCAACTCAATCCTGGCAAGCAGATACCCCGTCTGTGCGCAGGAACCAACTAGCCATTGGACATGACGACACGTTGAAAGATTTAACTCGGGTATGTGCATCTACCACACGACACATTTCTTGGCAGGGTTCATGGGCGATCCCAGGGGGCACTGGAACGCGTCGGTAAATATTGGCGAGTTCATCATCGGGCCTTTGGCGCGCCATGCCGTGCGGGTTGGTGTGCAGCCAATTGACGTTGTAGTTGTCCGTGGCTTTCTTGCACCACCACCCCTGGACAAACGCGGTAAAGAACAGCTTGGCGTCGTCGTACCCGATGTCCGCAATCGACGGGTCGACCTGCTTGGCCTTCTGGTACACCATGTACGACAGCTTGAGCCCGCCGTTGTCGGCGAGAAGTTTTCACCGAGCGTGTTCTGGCCATCGACATGCCCGAGGATGGCGTTGGTTTTGTCCGAGTGCACTGGGAAATTGGAGTATTGGTCGACGAGGCACTGCGCGTTCTTGACAAACGTTTTCTTGACCCCGGCCGTCCACCAGTCGGTCAATTGCCCGTACGGGTCAAAGTTTCGGCCGGCATCGTCAAATCCATGAGTCCATTCGTGGCCCATGACGACGCCGATGCGGGCGTAGTTGGCGACAGCCGGGAACGACCGAGCGCCGTAGACGGGCTTTTGCAAAAACGCCGCCGCGAACTCCATCTTGTTGGCCGTCGGGTCGTTGTATGCGTCGGCAGTAAGCGCAAACATGTCCCATTGGGTGGGGTCCACGGCGGGGCCGAGCTTGGCAAAGGACACGTCGACTGTCCGCGACATCAAACGTTGCATGCTGCTGAAAAGTTGGAGGCACTCAGGGCAAACGGGAGCGGGTCGACCGAGTCGGGGCCGCCAACAAAGTTGGCGACGTGGGCTACCTTGTCGAGTGCGACGCGGCGGGCCGTGTTGTCGAGCCAGTCGACGTTGTTGAGCAAGTCGACCATGGCGTCTTCGATCTGCTTGATGAGGGCACGTGCCTGCGTCTTGGCGGCTGGCTGGAACGCCTTGTCCATGTAAAGTTGGCCCAAGTATTCGCCCAAGTACGTTTTGACCAGGTTCATACAAAACAGTTGCCGGGATTCGATGGCCGTTTACGACGCTCTGAAACCTGTGGTGGATAAGCCGAAACGTATCCCCGAGGAGCGAACTCCGCGCATGCACCAAGCGAAAGCTCACATATGCCTGGACCAAGCCCACGTCAGCCATGTCGACTAGCGGTGACTGCGCCGTGAAAAACGATGGCATGGTCACGAGCGCGTCCACATTTGACTGGTTGAACAAGGATGGCCGCGCCCCGCGAAGGTAGCTTGCGACCAACGGATACTTGGTCGATACTGTCCCCAGGTCCATCTTGTGGTACGTGGCCTACATGTCGCCGTTGGTCAGGGAAATGTTGGCAAAGGAAGCTTCAAAGTCAAACAACTTGGCGGCGTCCACACCATAGAAGCTGTCCAAGTGCGCGGCCAAGCTCGCGATATACTCTTTCAACACTGCCAAGTACGTGGCCCGGTTTGAGCAGTACTCGATCGACGGCAGCGTCAAACCGCCTTGTGTCAACGTCAGCACGTTCATAGACGTGTGCTTCATATCGGGCAGGACGTTGACGTCAAAGAACGCATCCGACGCAGTGTTTGCAAACAGCTCGCCGGCATACGACACCAAGTCGTCGACGGAAGGTAGGGTCGCAATGTGCCGAAGAACTGCGCCGTCACGTCCGCGACGGCGTCGGCATTCACGGCTGGCTCGTGAATGCACGCTTGATAGTATACGGATCGATCACGTCCGGCTTGGTAGCCATGATGTGGTCAATAATCTTGTCGTTGTTTTTGTTCACAATGTAAAACGACGTGTCGATGTTGCTGTCGGAGAGGTCGTTTGCTTTGAGCCACCCGCCGCAACCGTACTGGTAAAAGTCGTCGCACGGGTCAACACTCTCGTCCATGTTGGCAAACATGGCCTGGACGAACGTAGTTTGGTGGATACGCACTAGACGTGGCGTAGGTCTTGGAAACGTTGATTCCAGTCGTGATCGTGGTTGGAGGTGGCGCGGCGGTGGTGGCCCAAACGACGCCACCAATGCCAACCACGACAAGCCCGCCAACAAGAGCGAACTTGGCCCACTGCTTCGCCTCGGTCGATGGCTTGGAGGCCGCTGTTAACAACGAAGTGGCTTCGGACATCGCTATGGCCACCAGGTCAGCGCGGTTTCTGTTGTTGCCGCGCAAACCATTTCCCAAGAGTTGGCGCGATCTCGGGTCCTGGTCTGGCTTCGTCATCAACATTCTTGACAAACACTCCCGTCGGATGTACTATTAGTACATCCGACGAAAGTCCTGTCGGACAGGACCACGGCACTTGGGGCGGGTCTGTACCCAGGAATTCTGAGGTACAGGTCTGTGCGTCGAATTTGGGGTTAGCCTGTACCCACAGCTCCTAAATATTTACACCGTATTTGGAGCGGGACTGTCCCCAAGGTATCTTGGGGAGGTCTCTTCCTCACACAACGTCCAGAAGTGGCCTTATTCATTCGACAATTTTAGCCAATCATCAGCCATTATTCCGATACAAAACCCAGAATAAACCAATCAAAGGGACGTATGACCGTGGTTGAGATTTTCGGTGGTCGTTGTTCAGGGTAGTACAACTTCATTTGGTACTAAAACACGTTAGGATTCAAATCACGTCCGTGGACGGCATGGCGGCGCGAGAGGGCTTTGCGTGCAGGGGGCGTTCGACTCGCCATTGTAAGGCAGCGTGGAATGGCGCGCCGAAGCTCGTGGTGGGTGCACACGGCGCCGCTAAGAACTACATTGCGACATCGCAGCACACACCTCCCGCTTGGGCTACGTGACGTTAATATGGCTTTGGAGATATTGTCAAACGGCGGGAATGAAGGCGAAACAACAGCAAGACGTTCAACGATGGCGTGTTCACCCCAACACTTCTACCAGACCGTGCACTTCTTGGCGGGGTTCATGGGGGACCCGACGGGGCACTTGAACGCATCCGCAAAGTACTGCGAGTTGTACAGGGGGCCATGGACGCGCCACTTGCCGGGGGAGTGCGGGTCGGTGTTCATGCGTAGGATCGCGTTGCCGTCCGATCGCTTTTGGCACCACCCTTGCGCAAAAGCCGTAAAGTAGAGTTGGGCGTCGTCTGCGCCGATGTCAGCGATCGCAGCGTTCGCCTTCTTCGCCCGTTGGTACGCTTGGTAAGCGAGCTTGAGGCCACCGTTGTCGGCAATGTTTTCGCCGAGCGTGAGTTGTCCGTTCAAGTGGCCGAGCAACGTGTGGCCATCCACCGACACGATCGGGAACGTCGAGTACTGGTCAGCCAAGCACTGGGCGTTCTTCTCGAACGTGGCACCGACGCTGTCCGACCACCACGACTTGAGTTGCCCTTTCGGGTCAAAGTTGCGGCCTTCGTCGTCAAAGCCATGGGTCAATTCGTGGCCCATGACCATCCCGATGCGGGCATAGTTGGCCACTGCCGGGAACGACCGAGCGTTGTAAAACGGCGGCTGGAGAATCGCGGCAGGAAACACAATCTTGTTGGCCGTCGGGTCGTTGTACGCGTTCACGGTGTAAGCAAACATATCCCACTTGGTCTGGTCCACGGGTTCGTTGAGGGAGGCCCAGGACTTGGCGGTCGTCCAGTCGGCGAACAGCTTCACGTTCGTGTAGAAGCTCGAGGTCAAGTTGAACGGGAGCGGCGCGACCGCGTCGGGGCCGCCGATGAAGTTGCGGATCTGCGCGACCTTTTCGAGGCCGACCTGGCGCGTCGGTGCGTCGAGCCACGCGGCACCGTTGAGGATGTCGACCATCGAGTCTTCGATCTGCTGGATCAAGTCCTTTGCCTGCGCCTTGGTCGCCCCGTCAAACACCTTGTCCATGAAGAGCTTGCCCAAGTGTTCGCCCAAAAGCGTTTGCGTGAGCGCCAAGCAAAACTCGGCGCGAGATTGCGTAGCCACTTGGCCTTGCAAGACACCGTTGAAGTCATGGTTGGCTACGCGGAATGTCTCGCCGAGGTACGTGCTCGCAGCGTGGATCACGCGGAAGCTCAAGTACGCCTTCAACGCAGACAAGTCGGTCGCTTGGAGCAGCCCCGCGAGCGCGTCAAAGTACGTGGGGGTCGGGATCACGACCGGGACGTTGGTTTGATTGACGAGCGTGGGCTGCGCACCCTTCAAGAAGCTCGCGACCAACGGATACTTGGCAGTCACTTCGCCAAGCGTAAACTTGTGGTACGTGGCCCACGGATCGCGCAACTCGGCTTGGGTCAGCGAGATCTTGGCCAGCTGTGCCTCCACGTCGAGGAGCGCCGACGCCGTCACGCCCGTGAAAGCCTCGACGCTTTCCAACTTGGTCAAGTACGTTTGCAGCGACGCCACGTACGGCGCGATCTTGTCGGCCGCATAGTACTCGACGGACGGCAACGTCAAGCCACCCTGGGCAAGCGCCACGACGTTGAGCGTTGAGTTCTTCGAGTCGGTCGAGACACCGACGTCAAAGAACGATGACACGGACGATTCCGTGTTGAGGACACCGGCAAAAGCAATCAATTCGTCCAGCGATTCGATGGACACGATGTGGTTGAGACGGAGGCTGACGTCGACGACGGCGTCGGCATTCACGTCGCCTTCGGTCAGGCACGCTTGGTAGAACGGGTCGACGAGGGCGGGTTTCGTCGCTAGGATGTCCTTGAGAATGCGCTCGTTGTCCTGGTTGATTACATAAAACGACGAGTCGACCGACGAGTCGGATTCCTTCAACGTCGTCGCGTGGAGCCACCCGCCGCACGCGTAGTGGTAAAAGTCATCGCACGGGTTGACGGAGCGGTCCAACTTGGATTCCATGTCCTTGAAGAACGCGGCAAATTGCGCCGGGACTGGGGCTACAATCGTGTCGGGAGCGGTCGTGTTCGGGACCGCCGTCACGTTGGCCGTTGTCGTTGCAGCGGTCGTCTCCGGGGCTGTGGTGGTAGTCACGGGAGCCAATGTCGTCGTCGTAGGGACGGGCACGGCCGTGGTCGTCGTAACAGGAACGCCCGTCGTCGTGGTGTTGACAGGGCCTGCTTGGCCTTGTGGCCCGATCGCGACGACAGGCTTGCCTTGGGCGGTGGCAATCCACACAATGCCGCCAATGACCACGATGGCGCCGCCCGCGAGGGCATACTTGAACCACCAAGGACGTTCGTTGACCGCGGGGGCTTCCTGGGTGTTGCGGAGAAGCGACGAGCTTTCAGACATGTTGCCACGACTCGTCCAGACCAAAAATGACGACGTGCTGGTTCATCCCAGCGAGGGAGATACATGGCGTGTCAACATGGAAGGTGTTTGATTGGCTATAAGAGATTTAGCATGCCTTTTATTGGCTATAAATCAGCCAATCAATATCGACATTGGGGGAGAATGGGATATACCCACGACGGAATGTCGGTGTGGATGGGAAAGGCTACGTGGGTGACAATGACCCTACCGATCGATGGTGGTCTGCCAAAGGAATATTCGACGGCACAATCCGCGCTTGCGACGGGCGCTTTGAGCAGGGTGAAGGGCACTTTACGCTTTTTTTACAACAGCCATGCTTGGTCAAGGTGTACTCTATGAAAGGCTCTCGTTCCCACGACAATCGCCGTGCAAGTCGAGGGGGAATAGATTGCCTGTTATAGTGTGCGATACAGTACATTTCCTTGGATAGGATCGCGCCACCAACATCGCCTACGTAATTCACTGTGGATAATGCATGGCCTGCAGTAGTACTGGCAAAGACAGACATGATGGTCGAACGCGTCGTCAAGCGCGGACTTGACTTGGTTGTACGCGTGAGGAGGCCCACCACGTCGTGGCATGCGTAGGTTTGTTTTATTTAGGGTATTTCAAGGGGTATCCATCCCTGAAGAATGGCGATCCACGGGGATGCAGCGACGCCGTTGATTGGCTGGCCGAAATTAAATGGATTTCCATGGAGAATGGCGTTTGTGTGATGCCAGTCGGGTCGAGCAGGCGCTCGCCAGGGGACAACGGGACGGGGAAACCCAACGAATCTTGTGCCGCTCGGCGGAGCAGGTCCTCCAGGGACTGCTATAGGACAGGGGGGGAGTACAGAAGTCCATGGTGCCCCAGAGTTGGGCGTGGTTTCCTTCAACCCGTTGAATCCTTCGACCGCGTCGGGGCTTCAAAAACCAGTCGATTTGGCACAATGTGCAAGTGGATCTGGCATGTCGACGACGGACGGGATTGCCATGAGTGGTGCAGGGTGGGGGCAGCGATGCACGCACGCAGTAGACGGACGACGTGTCGTTGAAACGGGTGAATGCGTCAGGTTTGCGGAGGACAGACCTCGCGTTCGCTAGGAAAAGCATGGCAGACCCAACCTCCTGTGTATTTCTTGCTATCTTCGTTCACTGATCATCCGACAGCAAGGACGTCGAGCACATGGGTGGTTAACGTTGCCGACTCCCCGCCGCTTCGGTTCTTCATGGATCGTCGGTCGTCGGCCCGGCTTAATGTTTCCTGGGCATCGATCGTCCATCCCTGTACCAAAGGCAGCACTCGGTTTGTCGTAGCTCATGCTC